CATTAAAAACCATTTGTACTAGAATCCAAGTCTTTATTAGTGTGAGAATTTGTTTATAGAATAATTGAACATCTGTAAGTACCTGGTTGTAATTTTATCTCTTTTCTCAGTGATTTGTTTTTATCTGCCACTTGATTAGGTAAATATCTGTTGTGTTCAGAGGTTCTGCTTCAACCACACAGTATAAACTTCCTTTTGTTAATTCCTTTTTTAATAGTATCTAACCAGATTTATACTTTTTATAGCTTATCTGTTAGCTTCTTTCAAACATTAGTATGATAGATTGAACTATCTTTGTAGTGAGGAGGAAATAACAACTTACAAGATGACATGGAAAATACTGGTATGTCAAATAAATACCAACGTTCACATTTCCAACTGTAAGGAAAGATTGAAGATTGATTTTTTTTGTATTTTCTTCTTCTCAGAACTGTTCATTTGCTGCTGTTTTCTCCTTTCTCAGGTTCCACAAAGTTGGGAACCTGTGCTGCAAGTTACAACAGGGGTTAACAATTGAAAAAAAAAAAAGTTTAATCCCACAATTACTGACATGAGGTTATATCAGTGTATGAGTACTTTTATCACAGCTACTAATCAAAGTACTTTATTAATCACTGAATCACATGGTCTGTTAATTATTTTACAAGTTTGTGTAGAAGTACAATGAGAAACTTAAGTCAAAGGTTTAGATGGATATCTATTGTATCAAAGTTATTATTGAAACAATACATGTTAGTATTAGCTTCTGAAAGTATTATGTTTCATATTTTAAGGTTTTGAATAAACAAGTCCTTTGTTAAGGAAGATAGATAATGTAACAAGAAAAGAGATGATTTAGTGTTTGTTCTGCTCTTTTTGAGTCAAAGTTGACACTGATACTATTGTTTTGTTACATTCAGGCAAGTAGTGTTGCTTATAATGTGTTTTTATCTTTTCCAGAAAGTCTTAATTTCAGAAGTCAGTCTTCTCTGACATTATTTTGGAAAGGTAATTATTTTTTAACCTGTCTTAAATGAGTTTATACATCCACAAGCTTGTAAGTGTTTGGATTCTCTCTTTGTATATGCTTTACTTATATATATATAGGTGCAAACTAATATAAACTAGCTTATTTATTGGGTTTTATTTAACTCAAGTCATGAGAACCATCAGTAACTTAACAGTGTAGTGAATCATGAACATATCATTCTGTTAATCCATATTGTAGAACAAGCAGTCACTGCATTAAAATGAGGCAACAAAATCAGTACCTATAATAGTTAATCCATATTGTAGAACAAGCAGTCACTGCATTAACATGAGACAACAAAACCATCAATACTTTAAATAGATTGGTGGATCAGGAACATATTGTTCTGTTAATCCATATTGTAGAACAAGCAGTCACTGCGTTAACATGAGACAACAAAACCATCATTACTTTAAATAGATTGGTG